GTTAAAATAGGTCCAAGGAAGTATAATGAAACGTAGAAAAAAATTTCAAGATGTAAAAAAATGAAGACCGCATAAAAGCAAAAAAGAGTTAGAGAAACTTACTGTGAAAACTTTGAGCGACAGCCATTCTTGGTATTGCCTACTTTTGATAGCAAATGCGAGGTTCCTGCTTAACTAGAAACGGCATGCTATCATCCTCCAAAGTCGACCCAGATTGAGAAGCATTTTCCTTTAAGAAGTGCCAAATCTTAAAACTCTCGCCTTTGCACGTTGTTTTTTGATTTGAAGGAAATTCCTGTATTTCACATTTTCTAAATAGGAATCGCTCCATATCAATGAGCAACTTTGCCTGTGGGGGACACAGAAAACCCCGCAAAGGTGTGGCATTATCAGTTTTCATGAGAAACTCGAAATGTTGCGTTCCGTGCAAACTTCGCACTGCAATGGATGATACCGTATCTGGGGAAGAAGTGATCGCCATCAATGTCTGATCAATAAATCTTGGCAAAGAACGAAAAGCGCTTATGTGAACGTAGGCGAGAGGATCTTTTTTCATACTCCTCACATCTGTTCCTAGCTGCTTAATCACATCGTCTAGCAAACTTTCTTCAGCTTTCAAACTATCACATTGGTCTCTAAGGTCTTTAAGAACATCCTCTCCTTCGAAAAAGCGATCTCTCCATATCACTACATTCCTTCGAGCTTTCTCCAACAATCCAATACCTTCGAGAACATTTACGACATCGTATAGACGTCGCTTCTGTACGTGCAAAGTTGTAGTAGCGACATTTAAATCCACTACGCCTTCAGACTGAGCCATCAACTTTACAAATCTCCCAGCAATTTTTGATAGAGAACAGTTTTTGCGACGATAACAGCGATAAGCTCGCATCTCTGTCCCTAAATAGACCACAATTTGGCGGCCTCTGCTAGCTACCGTAAACAAATTCGTTGGGGGACCGGTCTGGCTGGCAATTCAGTTGTTTGGCATACAATAGAAGAGACAACATCATTGCCAAAACATGACCTGGTCCTTTTCCTAGACATGACTGACAAGTTTTCATGCTGTTAAACAGTATGAAACGTGTTTTAGCAGATTAGGAGGAGTAAGTGATTTGAAGCTAACAAAGCCAGGGTTCCGCACGGCGCATTGTAAATCTTGGCGGTGTATCTGCCTTGCGCTCGCGCTGCGTTTCAATAACAGCGGAAGAGTATAAACGTTGTGTGGTTCAGGCACCAACCCCGCTGTTGGCAGATAAGGTTAAATGGACACGGCTTTAATGAGCATTAGTAAAATCTGCATGTTTTGAGACTGCAACATGCAAATTATTCTTATGCTCATCAATTTTCTCATTAGACTCCATTAATCCAAGGTATTCAGTGTAATGTAAAATGCCAACTCCGATTTCTAGTTGTGCATTCGCGTATTTGCAAACAAACAGACAGACAATCAAACCATTGGAAGGCTACGGTGACCCCAATGGGAAGTCTGCAATTGCGCACGGTTTTGCTTGGGTATCAAATGCGTACTTTAAGTTTGTTTGTAGATTTTTACATTGATTTTATCAGATAGATGTTGTGTACGCACACATATATAGTCTGTCCAGCCAAAGTTGGCCTAGATTGTGCAAATTTTCGCAACGCGTCAACGCGGTTGCGGATGGTCAGCGAGCAATGTCCGTCGCCGTGTCGAGGCTGAGACG